GCCGGGACCCCGCTCCCGCCGGGCTCCCGGGTCCCCGAGGGCGAGAGACCCCGAATCCCGATGCGGGCCGGGACCAGGGCGGGGCTGCACCCCCACCCACCCCAGCGCGGGGGCCGGGCCGCGGGAACGCCCTCCCGGAATGAAGCGCTTCCCGGTGCCTTCAAGGTAGCTCGGTTCCGGATCGGGGAACCCCTAGTCCTCCCTCCCAGGTCCCCGCTATCCAGAATCTAAGAGATTCCCCAATCTCCCTGGGTCGGGAAGGAGATAGCCCCAGTGCCCCCCAATCCTCCCACGTTCCAACTGGTGAGAGCCCCTCCATTCTCCTAGTTGGAGCGAGATGCCGCCCTCAGAGCCCCGAATTTCCTCTGAACCTAACTTAGGGTCCTCCCTTAGCCGGCCTCAGTCCGCTCCCAGTGTCCCATATCCCCCATATTCAATTTGGGGAACCCTCTCAGTGCCTCACGTCCCGAGTGGGGAGCCTCTATCAGCACGCCAGTAGAAACCGTATCAATTTCCCCAACCCCTCCTCAGCCCTTACTGTCCCGAGTGAGAATCCCCCTCAGCTCACCCACGTCCCTTCCGTCCACAGTTGTGGACTCTATGTGGTCGGTTGAGAAAACCCTCTGCCTCAATCCCGGGTTCCCAGTTAGCTGCCACCCCCAACCCTCAGTATGAGGAGTCTCCACTGTTTCTCTCCCTCCCTGGCTCACTCGTGTCAGCCTCACTCAGACTTCTGTCTGGATTCGGGAAAGCCAGTTCCAGACGCTCACCGCCCCCTCCCCACCGAGGCTGCGGGGGGAAGTCAGTCCCTCTTAGAGCCTCCCTTTTCCAGTTTTAGGAGCCCGATGGTTCAGCTGTGCACCTTCCCCTCCGAATGACCCCCTTCTTTTGCAGAGTTCTAAGCCCCACGCCATCGGATTGGAAGAACCTAAGCTGCCTACCCACTGCGTTTGGAGTTAGTTCTCTCAGTCCATCTCAATTTGAGACTACTCCCCATGAAGGCAAATGCCTTCGCTTCTCCTTCCTCCTCCCCACGTCCCCATCTTCTGGGTCTCTGAGATCCCCCAGAACTTTCACCCAAGGCTCCTGGGGGCCACCTCACCCACCACAAAAACATCCTCCCTCCAGCCTAGGAATCCCGAGAAAGTCCATTCTGGATCGCCTCTGGAGCCGGGGGGACCTCACCGTATCCATATTCTCTCTTCAATTCCCTGGCAGAAACCAGCCAAGAAAGGGTCAACGGAAGAGGCTAAGGCAGCCACTCCTCCCTCCGTCCCCATCCCTGCTGGGAGTCTCTCTGCCACACAAGCCCCTCCCTCCCAACTCACCTCCCACTCCTTCCCCCCTTCCTACCTTAAATCCACCCTGTGTAACCCAATGACAACCTTTGATGACGGCCTCTTGCAGCTCACCTTGACGTCCATCCTCCAGTCAGCCACCTTTTATTAATGTGTGCAACAACTCTGGGCATCAAAACCCTGACCCCTGGAAGGGCGTCCTTTCCCCTCCTCTTAGTACACCTTCCCTCCCCCCACCCAACCACCACCCATATAAGAACGTGAGAGACTCAAGTTAATGGTTTCCTCGGGGACCTTCTGGGAACACTCAGCAGGTATATCCTGCCACCTTGTGCGCATAACACTAGGGACAAACTTGCTCTTTCCTGTTTTTATCATTCTACTTGCCCCACAGTTTCTCAGCATTCCCTGGGCTGGGGGTAGGGGGCACCCCACACATGGCATTTCTCACCATCTCAATACAAACCAGAACATCAGGTGTGTCCTGGGAGAGGCACAGATGAGGGACAGCGGGTAACACCTCCAGTTTTAGGGGAACTAACTATTCCTAGGTCTAAACTTCAGGTTCCTTGTGTGTAAAATGGGGCCAATGGGGAGGTGCAGGGAGAGGGGAGCCCCAAGTGTCCATGAGCATTGATTTATGTGCTGGTGCTGTTGGACAGGTGGCTTGGAGCTTAGGAAATGGGTAAAGATCATTTATTCAGAGGCAGCCAAGCCTGCATGAGTGGTACATTGAGATAGGATCCATTTATTAGGTCCTCATTCAGGACCTCAGAGGAGAAAGTGTTTACTTGTCAATACCTGGTTTGTAGCACAGTAACAGTAACCTGGGGGGAGGACCTACAGAAGTCCCCTCCTACTGCAGGTTCATCTCAGCGTTGCTGCAGTCTACTCTGTTCAGGGTAGGGGCAACGAGTCCTTCTGGGATAGTCCTCCCAGGACAATGCAGCTGTGAATGCATGATCCTTATAGTAAATTGAGGATCTCAGCAGTATTAAGGAAAAATGATCTTTAGAGCAACTGGCCCAGACTCCAGAATTAGGAGATTAGAGGATGAGGTTCCAGCTATTTCTCTCTAGTACTACATACACTGCGCATCACTCAGAGAATTAAAGAATAATTTGCTTTATGGTTAAAAAAAATCCTTTTGAGAAAGACAGTGAGCAAATGACATTATGCCCAAGCACTAAGACGCAACTTGGCACATTCATTCATTCCACAAATATTTATTAAACATCTGCCAACTACCAGACGTTGTCTTAGGTGCTGTATTCCTAGCACCTACCTTTGTGAAACTTGCTTTCTAGAGACAAGAGTCAGATAATAAATAAATAAGTAGATAAATAAGTAATATGTCATTAGATGTTGGTAAGTGCTATGCAGAAGGAAGGGGGAGAGGGAGGGTGAGAGGCATAGGGGAGAGGGTGGTATGCAATTTTAAATCAGGAAAGTTCTCATGGGGGGGTGATGTTTTAGCAAAGACTTGAAGGAAATGAGGTACATTAATCTACTGTATTATCCACAACTTTCATTTAAACAGAGTGTCTGCACCTCTTGAGTGCAATGATAACTGCTATTCATAATTTGATTTTTGCTACTCTAAAACAGTGGTTCCCAAACCTTAATGGGCATAAAAAATCACCCGTTTTCAGTAGATGCAGGGTGGACCGGGGCCCTGAAAACCGCATTTTTTAACAAGCACCTCTATCAGAGGATGCTGATAGCTGAGGTTTTCCTCGGACCACTCTTGAAGAAATACTGCCCTAAAATATACTAAAGAGTCTTCTAGAATGACAACAACAACAAAATTAAAGACTAAATTACAGTCCATGTGGTTTTAGTGTTGAGAGTATTTCACTGTGTTCTCATTCTTTGAAAATGCAATACCCAAGCAAGAGCCTGGATTACCCAGAACATCTCATTTCTTGTCCATGCAGGAGAAGGGAAAACATCGTAAGCTGATTAAGAGCCAAACATTTATAATCAGTGTTTTATACCCTTCTCCCCCTTTCTCTGCCATAATTTTTTTCTATACTTTTTCTTTTGCCCAAATTTCTGGACTCAACTGGCAGGCGATTGCCTGGGGTAATGAGAGCACTTGACTGAGAGTTAAAAGATTCATAGGTTGGTCCTGGAACCGCCACTGTTTCTGGTTGAGTGAGTCTAGGGATATGCCACTCGGCCTTCTGAGCTTCGATTTACTCTCAAAGTTGCTGCAAGACTTAAGCGAGATCATGTATATTAAAGCATCTTAAAAATTCTAGAGCACTATGGAAAGACAAGGAAGCTATGTGACTGTGCATTCCCTGATACAGTTAATTTGGTTCAGCTCAAGTTCAGTTACCTTCAAGACAGTGTGGGACTGGCATAGGGTATACACATAGATCAGTAGAATAGAATTGAGAGTCCAGAAATAAACCCTCGCATTTACAATCAACTGATTTTTGATAAGGGTACCAACAATTCAATGGGGAAGGAGAGTCTCTTCGACGAATGGTGCTGGGATGACTGGATGTTCATCAGCAAAAGAATTAAGTTGCATCTCTCCCTCACACCACATACAGAAATCAACTCAAAATGGATCAAAGACCTCAATGAAAGAGCTAAAACTATAAAAAGAAAGATCAATCAGATGTTATTAAAATTAAAAACTTTTGTGCTTCAAAGGGCACCATCAAGAAAGTGAAAAAACAATCCACAGAATAGGAGAAGATTTTTGCAAATCATATACTTGATAAGGGACTTGTATCTAGAATATATAAAGAGGTTGTATGACTCAATAATAAAGAGATAAATAACTCAATTAAAAATGGACAAAGGAGTGGAATAAACATTTCTCCAAAGCTGATATGTAAACTGCCAATAAGCACATGAAAAGATGCTCAACATCATTAGCCATCAGGGAAGTGCAAATCAAAACCACAATGAGAGACCACTTCACACCCACTAGGATGGCTACAATAAAAAAGATAGATAATAACAAGTGTTGGTAAGGATGTGGAGAAATTGGAACCTTTGTACATGGCTGGTGGGAATGTAAAATGGTGCAGCACTATGGAAAACAGTCTGGAAAAGCAGGTCCTCAAAAGGTTAAACAAAGCATCACCATACTACCCAGCAATTCCACTCCTAGGTGTATACCCCAGAGAAACGAAAACATATATCCACACAAAAACTTGTGCATGAAAGTTCATAGCAGCATTATTCATAACAGCC